TAAAAGTCACCAAAAGACAAACAAAAATAGAGCATTACCTTCTTGCTCATTATATTCATATTAAACTATTCTAATATTTGAAATTAATTTTCTCAAATTGCAACCTGTTCTTATAAAATTTTATAACAACGAAATATAAATTCTCCCATGTGCTCTCCAAGCCACTCACCACAGGTAATTACTATTATAGTTTAATGTATACATTACTCTATGGTCTTGCTAATTTATATAGTACAAGTAAATACATATTATAGGGTGGGTTGCAACCAGGGAGGTCATATTATAATAGTTTTTGAAACTTAATTTTCCACTTAAGAATATAGAATAATATATTTTTATATCAGTACATGTAAATCCACCTCATTTGTTTTCTTTAAGATTTTATTTTTAAGTAATCTCTACACCCAACATGGGACTTGAACTCACAACCTGAGATCAAGAGTCGCATACTCTACTGACTGAGCCAGGCTGGCACCCCTACCTCGTTCATTTGAATGGCTTCTTCTCAGGATTGTAACATTTAGACATACAAATGTGTTTTATGATTTGTTTTCCCACTTTATACATAGTAAAGTAATAAACATCATTGCACATCTATATTTGGGCTCTATGTGTGTTTCAGGAACAGAGACTCTCAGAAATAGAATTGCTCCATTAACGTGTATGTATGGGGGCGCCTGGCTGGTTCAGTCAGTTAAGCGTCTGACTTCATCAGGTCATGATCTCCTGGTTCACAAGTTTGAGCCCCATGACGGGCTCTGTGCTGACAGTTCAGAGCCTGGAGCGTCCTTCGGATTGTGTGTCACCCTCTCTCTCTGCGCCTCCTCTGCTTGTGCTCTGTCTCTCTCTCTCTCTCAAAAATAAAAACATTAAAAAATAAAAATTAAAAACATAAAAAATAATAAAGTGTATGTGTGTCTTCAGTTTTTAAGTCACTGCCCCTCATGAGTAGGACTTGCCAGTTTAAAGTTCTAGCAAGAGTATATGGCAGCATCCACTTCTCTACACGTTGCCAACACTGGCTATTATCAATGTTTTTAGAAACGTTGGCAATCTAATAGCATTTTGTCTTAATTCTTACTCTTTAGTTGTTCCTAAGTTTTCATGCACTTTTTCAAGAACCATCCCCATGTACATGTTAAGGAATGACTGTAGTTTAAAGTGTGTCTTGATTTCCTCTTCCATTCACTTTTTAATATTGGATCTCTAAAAACATTTATAATTAATGTCTAATTTTATTGGATGGTCGTCAGAGAATGTGCTCGGAAATAACTTATTTGGCCTCATAAGAGAGAAATCCTATGGCTGTCCCTTTCTAGCAGCCTGGTGATATTCTTTGTGCTGTGTGGCCATTTGGGTAACTGCTGAGACGTAGAGTTGCTATACCATTCCCACTAACCGAACATGAACAGAAAACCTACTTTGAGTAATTATTTCATGTTTGCTTTAAAAACCTTTATTGTCCATACGTGGTGTTCATATTTCTATATAATAATTGCATACACACTACGGTCTTTGAGCTCAACAATCAGCTAGTCCTTCTCCCTGCCTCCTAAAGCTTTCCTGTCTTAGAAGCAGAACTTGTGCCTTCCTATGTTTCATAAAGTTTTGTATTTATTTTCCACATGACACATATCTATATTTGTCTTAAGGCCTTCCACAAATTTATTCTCGAAATCTATTTCATTTCTATCTGATGTTTAAATTCAGTGTTTTCCTTAGATCATATTATATATCCCATACTTATATCCATGTCTATATTATAACTATTTGAAAAGTCAGCTTGCAGAGGGTTCAATAAGAAACATATTATCACCCTAGTTACATAATCTAGAAGCTACTTTTTAGTAACAGACTAAGGACTCTAGATCACCCAGTTCCATCCTCTCATTTTACAAAGACATGAATTAAGGAAAAGTGAACTTCCCAAGGTTATCCACTTAGTTGGTCATGACTCACTTTCCTTCTGAACTAATGATCTAATGGGTATTATTTCTTTGAAAATTAAAAAAAAAAAATTCACACAAACACCTTTGATCTGAATCAAGAAAAACAATTGTAGGTTAACTTGCTTCAGCATGTATAGTGTGTAATTCATTCTGGTTTAGAGATCATTATTCACATTCAATCAGTGAATGTTCACAAACAACATTGATGAGTCTCAGCTTTTTGCATTTGGACGACTTCTCACATTGGCTGCCCTTCCTTTCCAGATTGTATGCAGCTCCAATGATGATATTGGTGTCTAGATTTGTCAGTTTATTTAAGCTATTTAACCAGATTAGTGTAGGCTTTTCCTCTGAATCAACTACAGACCTAATTTTTGCCTTAGTCCTAAATCGTCTTAACAGAGGGGTTTCACAGCAATAGCAAGTTTGATTTCTAATATTTAACAAGTAGTCTGAACTTACTTCAAAACCAAAATTTGAATGAAATATTTTACCTCACTGTTGTGTTTCTGAAGGTGAATTAGCCTAATGTGCTTTTCTTCTTTCAACATTCTTTACTGAGCTTTCTCTAATTTTTTATACAAGATCTGAAATATTTGGCCAGATACACATACTGACATAGAAACTAGTATTTTGAACTTGATAAACATAGATATAGAGGACAACCTTTCCAACTACATTTAGGATATAGAGTTGTCTGGGGTGCCTGGGTGACTCAGACAGTTGAGCATCTGACTTCAGCTCAGGTCATGATCTCGCAGTTGATGGCTTTGAGCCTCACATCGGGCTCTGTGCTGACAGCTCAGAGCCTGGAGCCTGCTTCAGATTCTGTGTGTGTGTCTCTCTCTGCCCCTCCCCTGCTTGTGCTCTGTCTCTCAAAAATAAACAAATGTTAAAACAAGATTTTAAAAGGACATCAAGTTCTCCCAAGACAAACACTATAGTATTTTCAGCTCGTTGTTTTGTTTTATTTCTAAATATTCCACTTCTTGCTCTTCACTTCTTCTTTGGTTTCCTTTCTTTCTTCTGCAACCAGATCTTGTCATTGGCCAGGAATCTGTTTTGGTCCCCTGTACTTTTTTTCTTCCCATTTTTTTCTTTTCCAAAGGTTTACTCCTTATATAGATTCAGCCCTCATCTTTATGTGCATAGCATCTTAGTCTACGTCTCCTTCTCCTATTTCCCCCTCAGGCTCATAGCCCATTTCCTGAATTATCCCAAATTCAACCCAAAGTAAGTATGTCTGAAACTGAGCCTGTCATACCTCATACCTACTTGACCCTCCTCCCCGTTTAGTTGGTGGAAAACATGTGTCAGGTCTCTGGAACTTGAAATATTAACATGAACTATCATTTTATTTCTGTCTCTCCTCTTTATCCAATTCACCAGTCAACTGTGGTTTTCTGATGTTTATTTTGTAATGTTACTCATATATTTGAGTTTCAATCTACCTTTAAGAATTGCCAGGTGATCTTTGAGACTTTTTCCTAATCTTCTACCCACAAATGCCACATTACTCTTCCTAAAACTTGCTTTCAAAATTAGGACCTCTCTTCAGTATCCTTCAGATACAGTTAACGATCTAGTGAAAAGGACGAGATATTTCAGTTTTGGTGACTATTGCATGATTGATTTGGACTACTGTTTCTCAGCTTCCTCATGTCATTCTCTGTATTTGTTGGTTTGAGTTCCACAAACAGGCCTCTCACAAAGCCTTGGCTATTTTACTTCCACACTGCCCCTCCTTATTTCTCATACTTGAGTTAACCTTGTGATCTTCTTGATCTACCCAAATTCTTTATACTCTTCAAATTCAGCTTAAATCCCATCATTACCTGAAAATACTGCTTAAAATTATTATGGCAATTCTGAAAAAAACATCTGGTTTTTGCCTCCCCAAACCTTTTCATCTGTTTTGTCATATTAATAGCACATTTGTCATATTAATATCACACATGTAAAATCTAAATAGCCTTCTATATAAGTGTTAGGTAAGACATCTGAGCTTAAGTTTAAGCTCTGTGACTTCCAAGTTGCATGATTCCTAAAAAGTGCATAATACAATACACACTGAGTCTCAGTTTGCTCGTCTGTGAAATAAGTTGGGCTAGATTAAATAGTCCTCAAGTCTCTTTCAGCTTATGATCCATAAACTGATATTTAAGGACATTTTGTGCGATATAGTATAAAATATACTCTACTTTTAGAAAATAAACTCTATTATAAAATAAACTCTAATACATATTCATTTGGTGATCATTAAATTTCTCAAGCCCATGCCCTTATAAGAATATTTGAACTTTAGAATCAAAATAATAGACAAACTATAGAATTGTTTTATTTCTGTTATTGTATGAAACCAATTTTAATGTTTTTTTGTATAGTTTTATTGTATAATTTTATTCTGAGGCTTAGAAACATTTCTAGAGGAAGCCTTATTTAAAAGGAATGATTATTTCTAAATGGAGGTATCACTTAGAAAAGTGCCTGTCAAGGTAGCCTTAGAGCTGAGTCTTTTTTTAAAAGAAGAGTAGACTTTCCATTGGTCTCATGCATAGAGAAGGCATTTTAGGCACAGAGAAAAGATTGACCAAAATTCCAGAGTCAAAGAAGTAGAGGTCATGTTCAGGGAATTCTGGTGATTTAGCGTCACCAGAATCGTTTTCTGCACAGAAGAGCAGAGAGTGAACAAAGAGAAAGATACAGCCTTTGAGTCTGGGTGGGCAGAATATTAGAAGAGTGTATTACTCACCCAGGGAAAAAGTAATTGGAAGGTCCAGCCATTCTAAGCTTTTTCAAAGTTGACAGCTAAATCAGTTTGCATAACTGTACATAGACCTACCCACCTGCTTAGTTTCTAATGCAATTTACTGAAAAGTTGTGTCTTCCTACACACTTCTTTATAACTAATGTGACCTATTCCAGATAGCAGTTTTACAGCAGCAGTAGTCAATATGAAAAGCTCTTTTTTTCATGATAATTTTCTATTATCTTTCTGGTCTACTGAGTTTCTAAGCAAAGTTCTTCTTGTTCTTTTGTTCCCTCTCACAGGCTTGCGAAAGTTGTGCTCATCTCATTGTGAGCTTGAGAAGAGTGTGTGGGCTGCCAAAGGCAAACACAGTGAAGGTGAGTTGTGAGGGTGCAGTTTCAGGTGCTCGCACCAACTTTGCTTTTCAGTACAATGGAGTAGCAACTGCAGAGTCTTTGTGCAGAGTGAAAATTTAGCACTAAAGTGAGGATCACATTCATGTGATTAATTATCAATGTGACACTTTAGCTTATCATGCAGTTTGCAAAGCACATTCACAACTGTAATTTTATTTAGCTTTATCCAGGCTTCTAGAGAAACTGCATTTATTTATAAATGTCTTATGCAAAATCTTACATATAAAAACCTTTGTACCACTTGTTTTGAAGAAATGTATTCCCATTTTAAAGTAGTATCTTGGTAATCTTAGTAAGTATTAATAAGTTAATCAACTAAAGGCCACTGCACAAACCAGTTATATATATACATATATATATATTTACTTATAACTTTTTTTAAGCTATTTTCTTTTAAGTTTATTTAATTTGAGAGAGAGAGAGAAAGAAAGAGTGAATCCCAAGAAGGCTCCACACTGTCAGTGCAGAACCCAGTGTGGGGCTCTAACTCACAAACCATGAGATCATGACCTGAGCCAAAATCAAGAGTTGGACACTTAACCAACTGAGCCACCCAGTTGCTCCAACACTTACTTACTTATAATTTTAATGTAAGATATTTAATGTAGATTTTATATGGTTAATTTTTATATATAGGCAGTCCTTAAATTATGGTGGTTTAACTTACAATTTTCCATTTCACGATTGTGCAAAAGTGATAAGCATTTAGGAGAAACTGTACTTTGAATTTTGATCTGTTCCAGGCCAGTGATATGCTTAGAAAATGCCCTCATGATGCTGGCCAGTGGAAGCCACAGCTCCCAGCCACCAACCACACAATCACAAGGGCAAAGAACCGATGTACTTAGAATCATCCTGTTCCCATACAATATTTCTGTTTTTCACTTTTGGGAGAGTATTCAGTAAATTACATGAGATCATCAAATCTTTATTATAAAATAGGCTTTGTGTTAGATGACTTCGCCCAACTCAAAGTGTTCTGAGAACACTTAAGATAGGGTAAGCTAAACTATGATGTTCAGTGGGTTAGGTGTATTACATGCATTTTTGACTAATGATATTTTCAACATATGGTGGGTTTATTGGAACATAAACCAATGAACATATCTACATAAAACAGCAAACTGCTCTAAAAACCTTAAAAGTTAAACGTTAACAATAAACGTTTATTGTTAATAATAGGTAAAATAATAATAGGTAAAAGCAGGTAAATGCAAACTATACTTAGCAATCAACTTTTTTCCTGGGATCCAGTTGAGAAAGAACAAGGCTGTTAGTTAACCAACTGATTGGTTACTGAATAATAAAGTTAATTAAATTGTCATGGTTAGAGAATAGATCACCCAAAAGGCAGATAATTCAAACAAGAAAACATGAAAACAGAGAGGCAAACATTGAAAATACTTGTTAGACAGCCTTTTAAAAATTTATTGTTTTATTAAAATATTTTTAAATGTTTATTTAGTTTTGAGAGACAGAGAGACAGAGTATGAACAGGGGGCAGGGAGCAGAGAGAGAGAGACACATAATCTGAACCAGGCTCCAGGCTCTGGGCTGTCAGCACAGAGCCCGAAGTGAGGCTCAAACTCATGAACCATGACATCATGACCTGAGCCAAAGTCAGACACTTAACTGACTGAACCACCCAGGTGCCTCTAGAGAACCCTTAATGGGAGAATTTACTCTAGCCCAAGATATCCCCCTGCCTGCACACCATATGGAGATGAGTACATTGAGCTACCATAACCTAGAGCTATTAACATTTCACATTGTATCACTCACTTTCCTTGCCTTGATTCTAGGCTTGACATAAATCTTTGCATTAGAATCCATTTTCCAGTGTGTGTATTTTGGGTAATGTATATCCTGAATATATGCCATTACTTCCAGTACCCAAGGCAATATTGTTTTCCATGACATAAGAATAATTTTATTAGTATTGTATTGGTATCATTTTATTCCAGGCTTATTGAGATATTGACATATAACTTATGTAGGTTTCAAGTATACAAAATGATGATTTAATACATGTGTAGATTGTGAAATAATTACCACAATCAGGTTAGTTAACAGCCCTTCACATAATTACTTTGTGTGTGTGTGTGTGTGTGTGTGTGTGTGTGTGGTAATGATTTTTAAGATCTATTCTCTTAACTTTCAAGTATATAATACAGTATTATTAATGATTGTCACCATGCTGTACATCAGGTCCCCAGAATGTATTCATCTTATTGTTGAAAGTTTGTACCCTTTGACCAACATCTCCCTATTCCTCTACCTCTGTGCCCTGGTAGCCAACATTCTACTTGGTTTGTAAGAGTTCAACTTTTTCAGATTCCACATGTAAGTGAGAACATACAATAATAGTCTTCCTCTGACTCATTTTACTTAGCAATGTGACACACTTCATATTGTCACAAGGTTTTTTGTTTTTGTTTTTTTTTTCAGTTGAATAATTTCCACTGTGTGTGTGTGTATGTGTGTGTGTGTGTGTGTTTATCCATTGACAGACAACTATCGTTGTTTCCATGTCTTGCCTATCGTGAATACTGTTTCAATGAACATGTGGGGTACAGATATCTCTTTGATGTACTGTTTTCATTTCCTTTAGATCTATATCCAGAAGTAGAATTGCTAGGTCATGTGGTAGCCTGCTTTTTATTTTTCTGAGGAAGCTCCAGGACTCCCTTTCATCTGCATCCTTCCCAACATTTATTATTTCTTGTCTTTTTGAAAATAGCCATTCTAACAGGTATGAGGTGATATCTCATTGTGATTTCAATTTGCATTTCCTTAATGATTAGTGATGATGAGCATCTTTTCATGTACTCAGCTATTTGTATATCCTCTTTAGAAAATGTCTATCTAAATTCTTTATCCAGTTTTAAATCAAATCTTTTTTTTTTTTTGCTTTTGAGTTGCAGGAATTTCTTTTACATATGGAATATTGCAATCTCTTTATAAGTGGTTTGAAAATATTCCCCTCACTCCCATTGGTTTCCTTTTGTTGCTGATTGTTTCTTTGCTATGTACAAGCAAGTTTTGTCACATTTAGCTTGCTTTGTTTCAAACCACTTTATTTAGGTATGCTTGACATACAAAAGCTGCATTTAATTAATGTACACAACTTGATGAATCTGGAGATAAGTATACACCTGTGAAATCATCACCACCATCAATGCCATGAAGATATCCACCACTCCCAAAACTATCCTTCTGTCTCTCCCTTTTATTTCCCCCAGAAAGGAGATTAGTGGTTACTAGGGGCTGGAGGGAGGGGAAAACAAAAAGTGTTGGTCAAAAATGTACAAAACTTCAGTTATGCAAGTTGATTAGATTTTGAAGATACAGTTATGGTATAGTTAATAATCCTGTATTATACACTTAACATTTTGCTAACAAGGTAGATTTTATGTTGCCTGCATTTGTTTGCATCAACAGACTTTGTTACAATTCTATTGTTACAGTTAGTCTATCCAAGCTCCTTATAGCCTCCTTGATAGTTCTCTTACTCTCCACATAGGGTTTGTTAACTCATCCTGTGACTCTATCTTCAAAATATATGCATATCTCAACTACTTATTGCCTTCACTGGAACCACTCTGGTCTAAAATCTCATTACCGCCTCCACTGGAAAATTGAAATACCTTCTAACCAGTGTCCACTCTACTACCTCCTCCTGCCCCTCACAATTCTCTTCTTGACAGAGCAGCAACAACAATTACTTTAAAACCTAAATCAGTTAATACCACTCTTGTGTTCAAAAACCTCCAAAGGCTTTTATCTCATCCAGACTTTACTTAAAATGAGCTGCCACACCCAGTTCCCACCCCTTATTTCAGTTTCTTACTGGTGATCTCATAGAGCACAGGGCCTCCTTGTGCTTCCTCTCACCTCTGGGCTGTTGCATTGTTGTGACTTCTGTCTGGAACCTTATTGCTCCAGATGTGTGCATGGCTTATTGCTGCTTCACCTCTTTCAGGACTTTGCTCAAATGTCATTTCCTCAGAAAGATGATAAGTGGCCCTTCCCTAGCCATCATACTTAAAATTGCATTCCTTTCTCCCATTCCAAAGCACTTATTTTTCTTCACAGGACTTATCTGATATACTATCTTCTGTCATTTTCATAATATCTTTTCTTCCATCAGATTGTACACTACATGGGAGAAGAAATCTTGCTTTCTTTTTCTGTTTTGATCACTATCGTCAGTGCCTAGAACAGTGACTGATTAAATGGTACGTTCTCAAAAACAGTGCTGATGAACTACACAGTAATCTATCTTTATTGTTGAAAGTCCATTTAGTACTATACTAATTTCTCTGGGGTGAATTTTAACATTAATTGAGATCCTTGGAGAGCAGTCTCTGCTTTTCATTATATGTGTCATCAATATAATCATTAGCCAAACCAATGACATGTGTGTGTGTATGTGTGTGTGTGTGTGTAATATCCCTAGTGTAAAGCAGAGCACTGCCTCTCACACTAAAGACTGATAGCCTTCCTGTCTTAAAGCCAGATTCGTTACTGTAGGGAGATTCACATTATTCTTCTGGCATTAAGGTCCAGATGTTCCTCTTAATTTATTAAAAGCTTCCCTCTTAAGAGGCTCTTATTCCTCTGGACATGGTAGATGATTAAATATCATAGGAATATAATCATTTTCCATTTTCTTAGGAAATCCTGTTTTCCATTAATTCAAAGTTACTGATGGTGGATATAATTTAATCTCCAGGTACAAACCATAGATTGTTGCTCCTGTTTGCCATTTTATTCCTATATAACATTCTAGAAAATCCCCATCTTAGCACCTACCCATTCTATTCTGCGAAGAAAAAGAAAAAAAATAAAAAACCCCAGCAGATCTGTAAAAAAGAATATGTGCGGTCGAGTGATCTTCCTTTATTAGGACATGTGCTCATTCATTCATTCATCACAGCATTAGAGTAGATTTCCTTTGC